ATACCACTGGCCGTGCAACGCAAATGAACAAGGTCAAACCGACCAGTAAATTGCTCGAGCCCAAGGTTAATATCATCAATCTCAAAGTCGATATTGGGTGGTAGCTGATCCTCTGGGAGCGGGGTTGGAGCCATGTCGACTCCCGTTACTCTCGCATGAGGAAATTGACGTGCCATGGATAGAGCCCTGCAAGCGAGAGAACAGATATCGATATCAGCTATCATAAAGTTGTGATTTAAGCCCAATTCACCATATTCCAGTTCCACATCCTGTGCGGGAAAGGAAGAAAAGTTATGTCAGCCACTCGATCCTTCAGAAGCAAGCGCAACGAGGTTCCGCACCCAAATCCAAAATTTCCTTGATAATCCCAGGTTCTGGTGCAAGTATCTTTTCCACTAGATCTGGACACGGATACAAACCTCCCATGCCTATTAGGTGGGCGGCGTGCTGCTTATCCCTAAGTAAAAGGCGTTGAGCGGAGATATAGACAGATGATTGAGGGGCCACTTACAGTCTCACAAACTCGAGTTGATCTATGTGATGTATTTTAAACTCATGTGGTTACTGTGGGCACATTATAAAATGCTTTGGCGAGCGACATACCGGCTGGGAGAATATATGTTGAAGATTGGTTACTGAACCTTCGACCATCGACCTCCTTGAAGAACAAGGTCCAATCTCTAGAAGAATCGTAGGAATAGGTCGATTGAGCGGCGTCGCCGATAGTTGTAGTATCGTGAGTGCGGTCCATGATGCTGGAAGAGTCTACAGTGTTGCTCCCACCGGGTATACCTCCCCCCTGCAACCGAGTGGCTGGAAATGGCTGCACGTAGCGTGGCCGGGCCAAATCTGACTGCTTTTCTTTCCAATTCTCCGACCTTGTCGCTTCGGCTTCGGGTTTAGCGCTGGTCGAGATTGTGGCCACTCGTTCCATGATCTCTGGAGTGTTCAGATTTCCAATAGGCTCTATCGATGTAATTCTTTTGGGCGCGCATCAATGATTTAGATTGCCAATTCGTTATCGCAGAGACACCCACTTGAGCCTAGGCTTAATAAAGTCCCTTTGTGAGTGGATTTCTGAGTTGAGAACACCTGTCCACTGCTGGATCCTGTCAATCTAGCACAGTAGCCTAGTCCATTTCGGTCAAAACTCGCGATCAACAATGGACTAGTCGGCCACTGACCCGGTTTCTTCTTCAAAGGCACGTGAGACGCAAAATATTGGGTATTTAATTCTTGGATAAACCGTGGACCCCGATATTCGTCTCTGGACTCGTCCCTTTCGGTTATGCCACGTTGGTTGAAGGAGAAGGCGTGCTAGGGTGTGGTTGGCCGAGATGTTGGCTACACAATTCAATGGGATGCCGATACCACACGGCACCTCTTTGCTCGAATATTTTTTTAATCTGCTCATTCTACCGTCCATTCATAGAATTTACGATTTGCACTCTTCCCAACGTGTGCGCGTGATGGACGTTGACCGGAAATCTCCAGTACTACGATCTGAATTGCGGGGTTTGGCTGCCGTGCATTTAATTTCAAATAATGAAATTAAAAACGAGGCAAGACAAGGAGGATTCAATGACGTCGATCGTAGCTTAGGGGATATCATGTTATAGTAGAAGGGAGGTAAGCGAAAAGCTATGTACGTTTCCCGTCAACGCGTATATTTCAAGGTGCCAGGAGTTAATTCTAACTCTCTTCTACTAGTAAGGCCAATGGCTTGACGAGTTCCCCGACCGTATCTTGCCTGAGTTTTCTGGCCGCCTGACTTTCCTCTTCCGTTGTATAGACGTGTATCGTTCGGTAGTGGGGTTGCCAGTCTGATCTCGGAAGAGATGAAGTATTTCCGCCGTTTTTCTCATTGGAAGTGCTTGCCTCTTCATCTTGGCCCGGCACTTTCCGAATACCCCAGGCGAGAGAAAGCCGAATCCACATATGAATTTTGAGTGATTCAAGTTCTGAGTGATATACCTTAGATCTATAGGCCCAGAAGTGCGATGAAACAATGCCTACCAGAAGTTGCGTTAGTAGTCAGCCCGTCGATGCTTTCCTGCGGTATCTCCTTTTTCCTTAGCAGTGTATGAAACGCCTGAATAGCCGCCTGTATGCGGTGAGTATCGTAAGTCCCAAGAAAGCTGAGCTTTTTATTTACCTTAAGGTTCTGCCGCATAAGTATTCCGGCAAACCCCAGCCTTTGCTTCTCCTCCGGGTCAATAGCTATGGTGTTATATTGAGATTAGGAATAGTGATAAAGTTTTAAAATATCAAAAGGGACACTGACACTTAACCCATGGGCCAACGGGGTTGAACATGCTGCCTGCTCCACAATTCGTCAACAGCGGGTGGTTCCATAGGGCTCGATCCAGGGTCTCGGATAACTTGGAGGTATCGATTCCACTTGTATCAAATGCAGATCTAACCTCTGTATTTTACCGTTTATCAATCAGGACTCGAATTGAGTCGATGTTTAGGCACATACCATAGAAGTACCGAGCAAGCCATGACCCGTCTGGCTGATTTGGTGTCGCTATCTTCTGAATTGTCACCTTATCTTCTGCACATAGTTGTGTATCAAGGTCTACGATCAATAATAAGCCACCTGGTTTGAGACATTGCGCAGCATATGTAGTTGCCTGAGCAAAGTCGGGGAGACCGCTAGCCGTGCAACGCATGTGGACGAGGTCAAAACGACCTTGAAAGCCCGCGAGACCATAGTTGATATCATCTACTTCGAATACAACGTTGGATGGTATTTGATCGACGCTGAGTGGGGCTGGGACCATATCGACACCTGTCACCCTCGTATGAGGAAACTGGCGTGCCATAGACAGAGCCCTGATGAAACGATAGCAAGCAAGTCAGCGTGAACATGGCCTATGATGAAGAGTATTTTCGATCTACCATATCCCGGTTCCACAGCCTTGTGAGTAACGGTGATGTCAGCTTATCCTTGGCTCTTGCCGAACACGATGATCCGCACCTAGATCTAAAACTTCTTTCGTTATTCCGATTTCTGGAGCAAGAATTCTTTCTACGAGGTCTGGGCATGGATATAAACCCCCTAAGCCTATCAAGTGTGCGGCATGTTGTTTATCCCTGGGATGAAAATCATTCAGCAACGGCGGTTGAGTAAGTTATTTGTGCAACGCACAAGCGAATGAACTCAACATCGTCTATGAGATCTCTTTCAGCTCTGATATGACACTATGCACGCCGAACATGTGCTCCAAAAAAATGGCTTACCAGCTGGGAGAATATACGTCGCGGATTGGTTGCTGAATCTTCGACCGTCGACCTCTTTGAAGAATATGGCCCAATCCCTCGTGGAATCATAAGAATAGGTCGACTGTGCGGCGTCGTCATCAGTAGTAGCAGCGTGCGTCCGGTCCATGATGCTGCTTGGGGGGATAGTGCTGCCCCCGCCGGGCATACCCGTTGTCAGAGGTTGACTAGTAGGAAAGAGCTGTTCAAAGCGCGGACGAGCTAAGGAGCCTTCAACTCTTTTCCAATTATCCGACGGTTCCGTTGTAGTGTTGCCGAAAAGTTGAGTCGGCCCGGAGTCGACTCCAGTCAACTCGTCTCTTGCAGTTGGAGTCAAGTCAAGTCATAGTCAAAGTTCATTATGAAGTCATAATAGAATTTCTTTTTAGAATGTCTTAATATACTCGTGGTGCGATTTTGGGGGATTTTGGTGAGCGACGTCATCAGGCATTGGCAAATGCAGGGCTGCGCTGCCTACCAAAATCCCAAAAAAAAAAAAGCGAGCTCCTCAAAGTAATAAGCGCCCTTGCACTTTATAAAGCGCGATTTTTTGACCTTTTTACAACATCTTCACGATGTCTCTTCCTACTGAAATCCATATGCACGCACCCACCTCGGTTGCTCGCAATCCGCCTAACACTCGCTCCCAACGACAACAACACCCCCTACACCTTGTCCCTGTACCAGAGGAATATGTTCGCTTCTCTCAACCTGTCATAAGAGAAGAATCATTCTATGATGGTAGGGAGAATCCTGTCAGGGTACACCACCCTGACTAAGCCATGGTCATGTGACCTGCTGACTAATCACTCAGCCACATGACCTTGCTGA